GTTGTATTTTATCCATTTTATTTGTTGCGTTCTACATACGTGTATTTTTATTTTTTCTTCTATTTTAACCAACTTTCGTCTGTCACATTTGACTGAGGATGTCTTTTGAATAAAGACGAAACGTCTCTAACAGAAAATAGTCGATTTTCATGATGAAAAAGGTGGTGTATCTCTTATTATCTATATTGAAATTCTTCACCTTACAAAATGATTCAAAAGAAATATTATTATAGAACAATAATTGAAAAAATAAAAATGATCTTTTTTTTTGAGAATTAGCTACTACTAGCAAGTTGGTAAATTTAAAAATAGAAAGAGAATATTTTTCTACAGTAGACAGAAATTATTTGTTAATTGAATCTTTATCTCTTTCCTTTTGATATAACAAAACAGGCAAATTACGTATAAAAAAGAACAAACTATAAATTAAGATAAAAAAATATTCTGGTTAAAACAAATGGTTCTGTCAGCCTAAATTAAAATTAAAAACAAGGAAATACGCTGGTAGACATCTTTTGAAAAACAAGTCAAATACCAAAAGCAAACAATGAAAACTAGTGATAATCATTAGCTGTAGCAAGTATCTACATATCACTTTCTTTTTCTCTGATCCTTTTGTCGTCTCGATTTTTTGATTTGGTGCAAACTATAGTCTTCGTCGTCCATTACTGCTTGAAGATTTTCGCTTGTTTTGATAGTATCTCTTTTTCGTTTCGTTGAGCAACCAGCAGCTGCTGTAGATAATACCTTGTTGCTTGGCACGACTTTTATCTTCTTTGGTAGTAATGAGTGGTCATCTACATCTTGTAAATGTTTTCGTTTGTTTTTTGGTGTGCCCGGTGGTGTTATTAGTGCTGAATCACTTTTTTCTTCATTAGTTGATTCGTTGCTGACATTGACAGTATCTGCTGTTGAGATTTGAGTAGACGCTTCATTTTCGACTAGCGAGACTGTAGTAGGAGACCGATACTGAGTATCGGATTCAAAATGAAATTCTTTGAAAAATTTTCGTATTGCATTTGATTCATGTTGTTTATCGCCAAATAAAACAACATATAGTACTCGTGATAGTATTCGATGGCAATTAAATTTGATGTTAAAAACGACATATAGTGATATCATCGCACATACAGCTTGCTCGATTGTACTTGGATAACATATCACTTATCAATCTAACTTCGTCTAAGTTCGTTATCGCCGGTCGGGGAGTCGTCGGTTTCTAAGTGAAAAATTGCTTTTACACAAAAATTTCTCAAAAGGTCAAATGTTTAGGAAAATGCGAAATTTTTCAAAGTTAGACTAATTGTTTATATTGATGATAGACCATCCTGTCTTGATATCTAATCTAACAGTAAAAAAGAATATATCCTTTGCACTAGATATTGCTGTTCTCTTCCTACCAAATTCCGCTCAGAACATAGATACACAGAAAAATCTACTTTTAAAGATCCACTTAAATTTTTGAAGTCCACTGATAGAAAAAATTTGTTCGTTTCGCAGATATTTCGAACCCTTTTGAGGAAAAACTCGAAAGGTTTGTTCTCTAATAGAAGAAAGAATGAATGAGGGTCTCACCTGATCTGTTGCACACAAATAGTGTTTGCATGCATCATTAAATATACTGTCGAGAATTTTTATACAACGAATAGGTATGGTATCTGAACAAAGGAGACTTGACAAACATAAGCCGTATTTGACTGTTACTTACCAGAAAGAAATTGATAGTTATCTCCAATCTTACCTAATAGATCTGGTAATTTTTCATTCGCTGCTTTTTCAACACTAACGCCAATGAGCATTTGAACATCAGCAAATAACTATAAATAGAAAACAGGAATGTTAAGCAGCGTTAAACAATTTGTTCAATTTACTTACTAAATTCATCAGACGATATGCAGGAAATTTAAGCAAAATATCAACTGTTTTATTTGTTTGAATATAATGACGACGATACTTGTATGTTTTACGCCACAGATCTTTTATTATATCGTTACCAGCTGGATTTTTAACTAATTCTTGATTCATTGAATCAACTAGTTTTTCAAAATCTTCAACTTCACTTTCTTGAACGGGTTGAACGATCATCTACAGAGAAATCATTGTTCGCAACACAAATAATCTATTGTCTCTTGGTTACCTTTTTTTCATCTGTTCTTTCACACAAATCAGATATATTTGGTTCTTTCAGATGACGACCAGAATTTGGCTTTGAATATTTATTCTTCATGACAACTACTTCTTCATTTGACGTTTTTGCTTGCCTTGCACGTTTCATCTTTGATATTAAAGACTGTTTCCACGTGGTCTGTAAAAGAGAAATGTTTATCACCAAAAAGAATAAACTTCTTATATGTACTATATTAGTCTCGGTGAGATTCAGCCCAAGACATTCAACAATTCCAGGATATCTGGAATAAACAGGATATTTGCAATAATCAAATTAGCTTTATATGGTGCAAAATACTTACAATAAACTAAAAGTCATTGTGATATCATTATAAACAGCATCAATAATAATTTGTCTGTAATTACATAATTTTTCAAATTTGTCATATTGTTTATTTGTGATAGCCAATTGCACATGTTCGGGAAGATTGGGGTGTGAGTATTTGTCAGGAAATTCTTTTTTTGAATTGTTGTCGATTGAGGAAGGTTGATGATACAGACATAATTGAAATTCTCTTCCTAGTTTATTATTATTGAATAATAAACTAGGAAGAGAATTTCAATTATGTCTGTAAATTCTTTTTTTATATTAAATTCAGATGTTGTTGCACTTGGTACTGTAAGTGACAATTGATGTGACAGCTCAACATTATCATCTTCTGGTTTCAATAAATCATTTTGTTCAACCGTTGTTGTCAATGAGAAGAATGTTTTAACGAATGACGCTGTTGTTTTACTGCTACTATTGTATTCATTATTTTCTTTCTCAAATAGTCCGCGTTGTTTATTGATAAATAATAATTGATCTTTAAACCTAGGCATAACTAGTTTGACTGAATCATGACTGTCCATCATTGCCAATGTTACACCATCAATACCTTCGACTGGAACAGAAGAAGCAAATAAAAAATTTTGTGAAAAGTTCAGAGCTGAGATCCTAAAAAAATTTGACTGTCAGTAGAGCCATAGCTGTCTTCAAGCATTTAGAAACTTTTTATTATCTTCTACGACTTCAACAATTTAAAGGTTTAAAATACGAGCCGGATATTCAGCCAGTGGTTCTGTTTTCTCCAGTACCTTTTTTCTATCATTCTGTTAATCTCGATGAAAGGCTCACATAGTAACGATTGTCTAATTCGTATAGATCAATGCCTTTGTGATAGTATTTTACATCCTTTGGTGAAACGATTTCTAAGTTATCATTAGAAATAACTTCATATGCACACAAGTTGGAGTTGTAGCCGACTCTTAACAAACGATCGATAACAAACATCCATTGATTGTTTAACTTGAATATGTATAGCAGTTGGAAGAAAACAGGATCTTCTTCCACGTGTTCACCTTATAGACATAAATGGCTTTCTCTTGATAAATAATATGGTCATGTATAAGTTGTGAACAATTTTGAATTGTTTGTTGTGCATTTACGAATTGTTGACCATATTTCTGGGCTACGATGCCTTTAACGATTGCGCTAATTTCATGGATTTCTCTCGTTTTTACGCTGGTTACCGCGTCGTAACTTCTTAAGAATTTCCATTTGGAAAGAAGACTATGTTTCAACTGATGACGTTGCGCTAGAGTCTTCAGCACATTTTTCAAGTTATTTGACCGTAAGCTATTCGCTTAAAATATGAATGCGCTCCTTCATACCTCATCCACCAATAGCGTACTGGCGATCCGTTCTCCTCACATATTTTGTTGTATTCGGTGGTGAAGTGTAGGCATGCACCGGTTTCGGTTAACTGAAACCGATCATAACCGAAACCGAACATAATAGAAACTGATCAGGACGGTCTTGCTTGACAAGGCCGGCTTTGTAAAAAAATTTTATTTTTTTGGTATTTTTTTAGCCAAGTCAAGAAGGAAAATTAAATATTTCAACAACGAATTCAGTCGGTTTAGATATATAGTTTTTTTGAAAGATAAAATGAAATGAAAACAATTATGTACATTATATGTGAAGTTATATGAACTATAATATTAATACTTGTCTTCTCGGTTTCATTTACATATGTGCAGCACATATTTTTGCCTCGTTTGTGTTCATTTCATAATATTCTAGAGGATGAAAAGTAATGTTAGGTGTTGAATTGTTAATGACGTGGAAGGACACGACATGAATGATGAAAACGTTATTATGCTACAATTAACCTGAGTTATATGACCTCTTCCAAAAGCAACGTCGAGACTACGTCTTCTTCACCCGCTTCTATTCTTATGATCGGTTTCCGTTATGACCGGTTTCGGTTATTCGGTTAAAAACCGAAACCGGTGCATGCCTAGTGAAGTGTACTTTAGGGGTAATTTTATCACGCAACAATCATCGACTGATAGTGGACGGCCAATGTTCTCAAATAAGAAAGCCAACTCTTTCTAACAGGTACGGCCAACACGATTTTGAGTATTTCTCGTAAGATCAAATAAATTTTAAATGTTTCTAATTGAAAGGCAATGTCAAAGAATATTAGAGGGAAATGTCGGAATAATAAATATTTTTGAGAAGCGCTTCCATTGATTCAATCATTGTTTAAATGTTTTATTTGAATGGGTGGTGGTTTCTCATTAGAGTCGATAGACCCATAGGTGAAAGCTGTCGTTCTTCGTTGAATTTCAGCATACGTCATTAATCGCAATTTAGAAGCTTCTTTCAGCATAGCCAGTACTAGAAGAGGACACGCACCTAAACAAAGAACAGAATTATTTTAAGAAGACACATAAGAGAGTAAATTACCTTCAAAAAAATCGTGCATAAGGTCACCCGGTAGCGACTTTTGTTGCACGGAAATTGATTAAGGCATTAAGTGAACTTGGACGTACAACACCGTAAACAGGATTTTTGTTTGCATCGTTGTTGATACGTTGGAGGTGTTGATCATGTATATCTTGAGTTCTCGGAATAATCTCAAGATCTGTTAACGAAATTTGACGATTGTTGTACGAGATGAGGCATCGCCGGCAAAAATGTTTTGAGCTGAATGTTTCTTGAAACCAACCAACTTCGTGAGCGGCTAAATTGTCCGCAGCCATTGCAGAAAATGTGAATTGTAGTGTGCTACTGAAGTTGCTAATTGTTAACCCGTTAGTCTGGAGATCATTTAAGTCGTCGATTATCGGCGCATAGAACTTCTTCATTTTTCATCGTCGGTCAAATATTTGGTGTACGAGATTGCTGCTAGATTAATGCACTGTAATGCATAGCGGAAAATGTCCGGAATATCTTCTAGCATATAGTAAACTAAAGTTATTTTATGTACGTCTTTTTTAGAACCGATAGGATTTGTTACGCCGATGTCATCTGTATACAGTTGAATTAAAAATGAATTATCGACTACTTTACTCCCATTTATCCCATCTCTATATGAATACATTAGATCAGGATCATTTCGCGTCTTTTTTACTTGATTTTGAATATTATCGATCACGAGTGGGATCATCCCATCTTTCTCAAGGATCGTTTTCAGCGATTGTTTGATCGAAACATAATAAAAGCATTTGTTTTTCACCAGGTAGAGATAATAGAACTTCTATCCGTGGTGAATAGTCAAAAAAGCGTTTGCATGCAGCAACAAATTGGTATTCATTTTTTGCAACAGTAATAATCATATCTTCAATTTCTTTAACTGTTTTTCGAACAATCTCCATGGGAATTATTAGTTCTCCTCGCTCACGAGAAGGACCCACATTATCTTTTGCTTGCTCTTCTACAAGGATCTAATACGGTGTTCAAAAACGAAATAATACTATTTGTAATCGACTGAATAATATTTAGAGGTAGGATCTGTTGTTCATGCAGCTCAAGTAGAAATCTCGCATAGTGCTTTTGAACTGTTTGAAGAGTAATTTTTTCAGCTACATAGTTTTCCGATGTGAAAATAGAGAGATTGTCATTCAAATTGTCATCGTAAATAATGTCATCTTCATCGTTGTAGATGAGCATTGGATAGACGGCTGATACTCCTGGCAGGTCGACCAAAATATGTCTAGCCTCACTTTCTTCAATACCAAGTGATGAAGGGTCGAGTAATCTTTTGTGGCGTCGATGTACGTGCATTTTATAAGTATCGAAGCTCGGATAGAGTGCCCCACATTTATCTGATATTTCACAAGTTAAACGAAACTGTGGTTCACCGGCATGGACAAGTGTCATGTGTCGGAAATAATTTGAAAGTGTATCAAAATGTCGATTATACTTGCAAAACACACAAAAATACCCACTGATTGTCATTATATGCAAATTCAATCTAGTTATCGACAAAAGTATTTTTATATCTATTAAGTTAAACACTGTCTGATTATTCAGAAGAGTTGTCTTTCACATAAGCCTTTTATTTTCCCCGCTAGACCTACTTCAAAAGTAGAAAAATATGCAAAAATTTGCTTAACAGAGCTTTCGAAAATCTTTCTTCAGAATGAAAGTTTCTCGGTATGGTGACCACGGTTAAGAACTATAAGAATAAACGCACTTACTTATAAACACACTTCATATACATGCAAGAGAATAATGCAGGTTGTCTACAAAGTCATTTCTTCTTTTTTTAACGTACTGTGAAGATGAAGACCATCTTTACCCGTATTTTTTGCATAGTTTAACCTGCGTTTTCTTACTGATTCGTCATAAAAAAGTATAAAAAATTAAATAGCTTGAACCTTTAACTTCAACGTAAGTACACAGCAATTGGAGACGAAGGAAGGCAGGGAGTTTCTCATCGAAAATGACTTCTTTTCCTTCGAAGATAAAGATTATGACATGGTGAGAGTGCCAGATGGTCAAGAAAGACTAAAAAACTGACTCCATCATGTTCTCGAAGAAAAATCCGAGTAAAACATGGTGTAGTCAAGTCTAAAAAAAAACGAAGCTAGAGCTATTCACAAAGCGGAATTCGATAATGCATGACTTTCTCGAGATAGGCATACTGTTTTAGGTATTTCTCCTCTGATGCGCATACTTCAAGCAAACAAGAAAGTCAAGCACATACCTCAAGCGTTCAGCACGACTAAGAAATTCATGTGCATGAAAACAAATCTATTAGTTTGCTAAGAGGAGAGAGCGGAGCATGCTGCAAAAGGGAAACTGGGTTTCTGAATATTCCGCTTAAGATCATTCTGAATTTGAAAAAAAAGAAAACGTTATTTTTCAAAACGGAATAAGTTTCCGAAATGCGTCTAATACAATCGAAAAGGTCTTTTCTAAAACGCTAGAAAGTTTTCTACCTTTCGAAAACCGAAGGTTTTTATAGCAAAGAATTCAAATACCCGTTCAAATCGAAGCGTTTAGGGTTTTCTAGTATACTTGATGGAGAAAGTTCAGTCGACGAAGATAAAGGAATGATTCTGTTCTAGCAACAACCAATAACAACTGTGAAGATAAAATAACATAAGGTATAGACGTCTTTCATCTACATCTGACTTCGCTATTATCCTTTCGATGTTTTCTTGTTAATTCTCTTTCTTATCCAACACTGTATCGCGATCGACATTTTCCTTCTCATTGATTAAACATTCGCTATTTGTCTTTTCGACCTTTTCCTAATTTTTTGTCGACATTTTACCCTTCTGCGTTTTCCGCCAATCCAGCTGAGTTTGATATCCATCCTCGAAAAATACAGCAGTTAATTCGCCAATTCATCCCTGTCCTATCGTCTGCTATTGCGATGATAAAATGGCCTTCAATTGAAAAACTGACGGAAACGGTGATTTATGATTCGGTGCGTAGTAATATAGCAGGCTACATTGACGCAACATGTCACAAGGTTCAGAAACCGGGTAACGAGAGCAGTTTTTAACACGTTCACTGTCCATGTATCATATATAATTCATTTAATTTTTAACCATGGACTTCATGCATGAGATCTGATAAATGTACAACATTCGGTTTCACGATGTTATCTTAAGTTAATTATGAAACCTTAAATATCTATGAAACTTCTGTGTGTATGCGAAGTTGCCCTCTGAAAAACACATTAGTTGTCCTTTTCGAAATTAGTTATCCAAGCAAGAAGTTCTTATTTTGTGTGTTTGTGCGCATACGTCTTATTTGAAATATCCCTTTTATGTTTCCTCTGATGAAAATATATATGATCACATGTAATCACATGCTCAAAAGAATTATTGCTGATATTGACACATAGAAGTCAACAGTTTTAAAGACTATTGCAATACTTCTAATTTTTCCGTACTACAGTCGTGAAGTGAATCTGTCTTATCTCATGAAAGAAATGTCTTGACTTTTATCGAATCGTTCTCCAAGTTCGTATATGCAAGTCTCGGATATTTTTATATATCTGAGTAGAGAAAAGTCTTGGAAATATGACGGTATAAAATGTTTTAAATTGGTCTAAAAATGACTCAGTTTAAGCGAAAACTTAAAACTTTTTAAATTAAAAACTCATACAGGCTTCATATTTTGAAGTCGTACTCGAAAAATAAAACAAGAAAAGACAAATGAAATACATGCGCTAATAATATGCTGATGGTTCAAGTACTAAGATGAATGTAAAAAAGAACATTGTGTTTGTGCAAACAAAAAACTTAACTATTCATTGAGATACTCATGAATAAAATTTTAAATTCGA